TGATTGATATCTATGCTCCAACTTGAGGGGGAGTGTTGACAGATGTTATTGTATGTACCGTACACAGATTTAGTGCCCGCAGGGGTATTTTTGTAATTTCTATACCACTTGTGTTGTACGGCCAGTATAGTATAAATACAAATGCTTCACTCGCATGAAGCAAGTTCTCTTGAGGCATTAAGTCTGCCAGCCTCCTCTCTTCTTTCTTCTCCTTCTTCCTTCTTCTCTTTCTCTTCTTTCTCTTGCTCAACACTTACCAAGGTTAAAAGTATGAATATGATGTGCCCCATATTGGGCAATCATATTGTACCTTTTGATGCCTGATATGAAGAAAAAAAATGAGAGTTTTGGTCAATACAAAATGCTCGATACGCAAATTCTATGCATCAAGTGTATTGATACTTTGAACCATGGTCTTGACCAAAACTCTTGTTTATTTTTTTGGTGTTAGATTTTGAAAGGGGCATTATGATATTGTCCCTTAACATGCAAAATTATTAAAATCTGCTAAATCCCTTTAAATAGTGTATTGGGACCATAAGATACAATACAATATGCCTGATATGGGATGTATAATATCAATATTTTGACCCTTGGATTTCATATTGATCATAGCCGTTCCTTGTCCTTTCAGTTCTTTAGATCTAATTAAAAAGGAGGAAGAGGATTGTGACCAATCCAAAAAGAAACAAAGCATAAAGAGGATGTATGGGTGGGGTATATAAGCCAAACATTGCAACTTTCCTCGCTCAGGGCAGGGATAAGACATCAATGAGTTAATGGCTTTATGCTGGGTAATTTCATTTGCAAGTTAGCAATTAAATTGTTGGTTTGGCTTGTGGAATTTAAATTGTCCAAAAAAAAAATCTGGTTTGCCTTGTTCTCTTAGACTATATAGTGTGCTAATTCATGGTACTAAGCAAGGCATGTGTTATTGAACTAAACTGATTTTTTTTGCTCCCCATGGACCATCTTTATACGAGAGATGCATCCAAGAGTTGGAAGCAATCTGGCTCTGATGGAAATAGCCGCTTGACCATCAAGGAGTCCTCAGCAAACATACTCTTGTTGGATTATATTTCATCTGAGAAATGGAAGGATATTGTAGATTTTGATGACCACCTTGATGACATTAGCAAGTAATTATTCTTTCCCTTATCATTCCTTGCCGTTTATTTTTTTATTATAAAATCCCTTGCCATTTTCATTAAGTAGGTAATTTGTCCCATTGCCTTTGGTCTTTCCGTTGCTTCAAACTTTGATGATACTGTGCTTCTGAAATTTTTATTTTGTGCTTGCAGGGACTGGTTGAACGAAGATCTTTTCAAGTAGTACACTCGAGCCATTTTTTTAAATGTCTTCTGCTCTTATTATCAACACTGCAAATTGTTTGCTGCATGGGTTTGCTTGTGCTGGATTGGGAAGACATAATGATTACTGACAAAGCGAGAGTTATTACAGGCTTAACGGAGCTCTTGGCCTATGTGGAGGGAAAGCTGCCTAAGAATGTTCTTGATCAGAACCGGTTGTATATTTCCCTTCCTTTAGACAGTAAGCCCAGAAAGATGATCTTCTCTATATCAAACAGCGAGTGGTGGCATTGATCCATCATTTTGAACATCTGTGCTCTTTCAATATTTAAGAATTAAGATGCAAAAATGAATGAAATGCTAGGAAGTTACCAAAGGAACAAAGGCAAGTAACCTATGGTGTCGCTGTGGGCTTTGATTAGTTCTGGATTTGCAGTTAGCTGTGTTTTCGTACCTTTTCCTTCAAACCAAACACAACCTTTAAGTGTTGGATGTCATGGTAGTCATTGCCCAATTGGTGTGGTTTTACTAGTAGTTTCCAAGCAAGTTTAGAAAGTTGAAGCCATGGGCCCCCTCTAGGTCAAATACGATATATCTTGTTTTATCCTACACATGCACGATGTACGGGAAATGTTATCACTGTCGACAAGGAATTATCACACACCGGATCCAGACATTGTTCTTTACATCGTATTGTAAAGAAATGGAAGGATAGTGAATTGTTCTTTACATGTTATTACAATGGGGGCATGTTATGCCAGTCGGATTGTTTAATGAGCTTGCTGCAAGATGGACATGTATAATTGGCAACAAAACCCAGTCATGAAGTAAACAAATTAGTGGTCTGGATTCTCTCTGTTACCAACCCAGGATCCCATGTTTCTTTCCCCAGTCCCCAACCTAATATGTTTTACTACTACTACTACATTGTGAAACAGGTTTTGGTGCAAAAGACGAGTCCGGGCCATCGTATTGGAAAATCGGGTTGGAGATTGGAGGTTGGTAACTTGGTATGTCAATTTATAGGCAAAATTACTAGGGCATTTATCACAGAAAAAGAGATTTTTACAATGAAAGCAGAATAGAAGCAATAATTAGATTCTATGATTCTATCCTAAAAAGACTTTATTTCCTTGCTGAATTCTTCAAAATACGTATTTCTCCTGTCTGCTGGGTGGGACTCCAGAGTCTGGCCCCTTTCCCTACTTGGTCATTTCTTTTAGCTCTGTCCCCTCAATTTTCAGGACCTTTAAACGAGTCATTTCCTTTCCTCCTTTTTATATGTTATATATAAGAATTAAATAATCGGTCAAATTCAGATATTTACCAAATAAGTTTAAGTTATATGTGAGTTTGACCAATTAAATATTTGAATTATCCGAATTCAATTCAATTGTGTCTAATCTTAAATTCAAAATCAGATTTTCAAATACCATTGGCACCCCTAACTGAGGCAAAATTATATGGAGGTAACTGACCATTTAATGTCATTATGCCAAAACCCCATTTAATGTGGGTATGGAGGTGTACAAGGACGTTCCTTTGGAGTGCATGGTTGTAACAAGATACAAGAAGTTAACCCCCATCATGAACTTGTTTCAATGAGAATGACGCATTGGATTGCCACTAGAAATGGATTCAAAGAAATTTCCAGTAATTTCATCTTTAATGGGGGCAATTTTTACTAGCTTTACTTAACAAAGGAGGCTATCTCATATATATAGTTTGCACCCAGTAGTGGAAAGGCCATGTTCAACTTAAACAGATGTGCCCCAAGAAACCCAGATGAGCACAGATGAGTTATTGATGGACAAGTTCTTTTCAGTTTAGGCAAAATTTTTAAAGTATCCCTATGAGTTAGGAAAATTGACTAACTCTACCTTGACTATATCCTTAAGTTTTCTAATAATTGTCTAAAACCTTCCTTGCTGTTAATTTTTTGTCCACTCCGTTCATATGTGACATCACGTGATTGATACATTTTTTAAAATTTCTAAAATACCCTTTTATGATTCCACTCTATCCTGGTTTCCGTCTCCACCTCCATCCGACTCCGGTTCCGATTCCGTCTCCCTCTCCCTCTCTCTATCTCTCTTTTCTTTCATCGTCTCCATCCCCAACCAAATGCAGATCCCCTCCCTCTTCTCTGACTTATTTGCTGGCCAAAAAAGTCGCCATCAACTCACATCTAGAAGTTCATTCTTCCCACTAATCTCCTGGTTATCCGATTCAACATTGTAACTCAAGGGCAAGCGGTCCAAGACAAAGAGTGATCCAAATCCTTTAATTTGTTGCATCGTCTCAGGATGAAATCTCGACTAGGTAAGGCTAAAATCCTAATAGGTAAGCTCCATTACTTGCTACATTTCTTCCATTCATCTCACCACAATAGTCATTTATGTTTGTTTCGTTTAATAATTGGTCCATAATTGGTTGTGTCCTTATTAGTTGATGTTTAGAACGAATATTTTGTTATGCTAATCAAATGGATGTGCAAGTGGTGATTTGGAACAATTAGGTCGAGGTTTCACTAGCATTAAAACAGAGAGCGAACAAGGAGGGGATGGCGATGAAGACGTGAGATTTTTCTGAAACAGTGGCGTTAGAGAGAACTAGCTACTACTGTGACGGATTCAAAACAGTTGTTGGAAGAAGGTTTAGGGATTGGGCACCAATGGATGCCTATGAAGCTACAAGGATTGTCTTCCTGAGAATACCATGGGACTTCTCCTTATTCAAGATCACGGAGAGGAGATTATCTGGGACTTTGTGGTCCTAAAGGAACTGGGACTTTCCACAAACACCCCGTCGACGCCATCATCTCCATTCCTCTCCAGCAGCTGCTGCTTTTGCTGTAATGGTGGGGATTAGTGGCTGCTCTGGTTCAGTTTCAACAGTGATTGTGGAGAAAGAATAGGAGCAGTGGAGATTGAACAAGTGTAGGAGGGTAAATTTGAGTGAAAATTTGAGGCAAGTTTCAATGTTTTTTTGTGCACTCAAATCATAATTCAAATGGATTTTATTTTGAAATTTTGAAAAATATGTTATGGGCCCGGGCGTAGGATCTCATCACGGGTCGGTCCATGGGGAGAACCTCTTGCTTCCCCTTGCGCCTTCCCTTGCGTGCAGACCCTATTGTGGAAAACCGAATGGGTTATTTGTCCAAGAGACCACCCGAACTCTCCTCACTCTTCTCTTGACTGGAAAACTGAATGCCTTTATTTCAACTCATAGCTCCTTAAATAGGAGATTACAAAAGGGGATTCCTTGTTGGATTCGGCTAGGCTAGGGTAATCCATATCAAACTCAAACTTCTACTTCTAAATAAATTACCTACTTCTAATGGTAACACAACTCCTACTTCTAGTGGCAAACAGAACTCTTACTAAGAAGATAAGGATAAGGGATGAGGGATAATGCAGCTGGCGGCGAGTTGGCAAGCAGAGTTGTTGTGGCAAGATAAGTGTGGGCCCACCCTGCTGAGCTGTCGTGTGGGCCCCTCTCTAGTGCTGCTGCCGGATGGTGCGTGCATCTCCTAAGTGCTACTACCGGGTGGTGCGTGCTGCTGTGCGTGTTGTTGCCTATGATTGCGTGCGTCCATAATATCACACCCCTCTTGGACTACGAGCTTGTCCTCAAGCTCGAATTCAGGATGGGTGTCGGGAAACACCGTCAAAGGAATCCCAGATAGGTGGAATGACTTTGCCCTCCTGGATCGGGTTCCAATGAAGGGGGTTCATCCTCATCTTCCTCTTGTTTCACCAGGAGGCAGAAAAGTCTCTTGCACTTATGCCCTACTGAGTAGAGTTCATCGCAATTAAAACATTTGCCCCCTCGCCCTGCGTTCTACCATCTCAGCCCTGGACAAGTGCTTAATAGGGGGTGTACCGGCGCTGCTCCCCACACTAGATGCTGATCTGGAATTGGTGCTCGTCTGTGGCTTCCGTTCTTGGCTGGCTGCTGGATATGGAGCCATTCCGAGTAGTTCCGGGGATGCCCATGCTGATGGAGGCCGCCCCATACTGAAGGTTCCGTGGCTGAGTTGTAGTTTGCGTTCGAAGGCGCGTGCTAGGTTCATGGTTGTGACCAGGTTGGGAGGGTGTTGCAACTCCACGTCTACTCTTAGGGGTTCTGCTAGCCCCGTGGTGAACATATCGACTCGCTGATCTGTGCAAACCGAGGTTGCTCTGGCGAGAAGGGTTTGGAACTGGCGTTGGTATTCTGCCACGGTTCCAGTTTGCTTGAGGTTGATTAACTTGCCCAGCGGGTTGCTTGTCAATGGTGGTCCGAACCTGAGGAGACAATATGGTTTAAACTGCCCCCAACTGAGCCCGGTTTCTTCTTGCTCCAGTCGGTAGAACCAGAGTTGCGCCTCTTCTGATAGGTGGAAGGCGGCCAGACTGACCTTATCTTTGTCATCAGTGCGCTGATTACGGAAGAACTGTTCGCAGCGATACAGCCATCCTAACGGGTCTCCGGTGCCATTGTAAGATGGGAATTCCAGCCGGCTATACTTGGGAATAACTGTGGCTGTCGGGGCAGCGATCTGTTGTTCGCTGGACGTCTCTGCCCAGTCCGGACGTCGACTGTTTGTGGTGGCGGTTCCCTCAGAACTTCTTTCCTTGTTGGAGAGGAATGCTTCCAGCAGGCGTCGCAGCTCCCGGACATCATCCTTGACTTCACGAACCTCCATACTGGTTTCTGCGAGCCTATGTTCCAGTTCGTGGACCCTGGAAGACAGCGGTTCCTGTTCCCCCATGACGGTAGGCTCTGATACCAAAATGTTATGGGCCCGGACGTAGGATCTCGTCACGGGTCGGTCCATAGGGAGAACCTCTTGCTTCCCCTTGCGCCTTCCCTTGCGTGTAGACCCTATTGTGGAAAACCGAATGGGTGATTTGTCCAAGAGATCACCCGAACTCTCCTCACTCTTCTCTTGACTAGAAACTAAATGCCTTTATTTCAACTCATAGCTCCTTAAATAAGAGATTACAAAAGGGGATTCCTTGTTGGATTCGGCTAGGCTAGGGTAATCTATATCAAACTCAGACTTCTACTTCTAAATAAATTACTTACTTCTAATGATAACACAACTCCTACTTCTAGTGGTAAACACTCTTACTAAGAAGATAAGATAAGGATAAGGATAAGGGATGAGGGATAATGCAGCTGGCGGCGAGTTGGCGAGCAGAACTATTGTGGCAAGATAAGAGTGGACCCACCCTGCTGAGCTGTCGTGTGGGCTCCTCTCTAGTGCTGCTGCCGGATGGTGTGTGCATCTCCTAAGTACTGCTGCCGGGTGGTGCGTGCTGCTGCCTATGATTGCATGTGTCCATAACAAAATAGTAGAGGGTAAATTTGATACTATATTGTTCTCTGTTAGTGCTTAATGACTAATAGGGTACTTTAAGATTATGTAAACAGTAAGGATAGACTTGGTCAATTAGCTAAACTATAAGGGTAATTTATGCTTTCAATTTCTTAGGTGCCCTGACGCAATGAAATTCTTTCCAGCATATTTATTTGTTGGTGACTTGGTGTTACTTCAAGGCTTAAACTTAGCTGCTTTTTCATTAAGTCAGAATATAACTTAGAAGGAGATCGTCGAATAGTAATTAATTGGATGTCCTTTTCTAAACTGGTCCTTGAGAATTCAGATTTATGAGGTAAGTAGCAAGAGTATAACCGTACAAACTAACATATTCAATAGCTCATTCAAGTGTGTTCCTTAATCGACTAATGCCCTTGCTGACCCATTAACAAGAGAAGGGTAGGAAAACATTATTTATTTATTTTTGGGTGGGGGTGGCTACTCCCCATGGATCGGCAAAATCTTTCTTTTTTTTTAACAGCAGAGTTTATTCTTATTATTCTAATAAAATCTCTTTCATTTTGTCCCTATCGTCTCCATATCAAGTCCTAGTTAATCAACAATTGCATTCATATATGTTATTGGGGATCAATGTAAGCCAGTCACAAATGTATCACTAGAGATGGAAAAAAAAACTTTGAGTACAGTATATTACCATGTAAGTGGTGGATCACCTTTAATGGAGAGAAAAAACAGGTCATTGACAAGGCTAAGATTTTACATAAAAATACATAGAAATTAGGTTGATAAGAAGTCTTCACACGTTATGTAATTCAGGCCAGTTGCCGATCCAAGGGTTAAGTCTAACACTTGGGGGGCTTTGATCAAGGTCTTCATTGTTTGTACCTTCAACTTCCTTGGTAAGCTCTGTAGAACTTATTGATACCCTTCTCAAAGCAACTTCAACTTCCTTCAATGTAGCTTCTAGGCCATTCTTTGCCATCTTGAACACTTCTTCTGTCACAACGGCCTTTGCTGCAATGCTTACTATTTCACGATAGATATTACAATAGCGAAGAGAATAGGGATCATAACAATCAGATTGGATTTCTTCGCTCTGGTTGTCCACTGTAGGCCCAGACTTGGCATCTCTTGTCCACCTCTTCAATATGTATTGAGGTGGAATACTATGAACATCTGCAACTAAAAATATTTTCAATATGTGTTTACATAAGTAACCTGCAACTTCAAACAACTGGCAGCTGCACTTCGCATTACTATTAGAGCTATCAAATGTAACAATACACCTTGCTTGCTCATGATCCCTCTTCCACACACTATAAGTGAACTTTGAGCCACTCTCTTCAATTTTTTCATGACGAAAGTTAAGACCTTGTACCAACTCATCTTGAAACTTGCGGAAAATTGTTCTTGTATAGACTTTGGCTGCCTCCTCTTCTATATCCATACCAACCCTCAAAACTGGATTTTTATGGTTTGTTTCTAAGTCTTCATCAATTTCTGCTTGTCTTCTAGCTACAACAACTCTACCATACTGCTTAACAAATTCACATATTGGCATATTCATTTTGAGGTATCCATCAAAATAAGCATTTATGCTTTCAATATGTTGAGCATTGCACATGGATGCAGAAAATGTATTATGTCTGTAGATTGATGCCCACTTTTCTCGCTTTTCATACAACTTCATTAGCCAAAGGTTGCCCCTTAAGCTGTACCTATCAAGCATATTTTCCCAGCTAGACTCAAACTCCTCAATTGTCTCCCCACCATACAAGCAATTATTGAAATCACGAGCAAATCCACTATTAGCATTAAATGCATAAGGTATGTACCTTGCAGCATTCTGCATTATGTTCCATAAACAAAACCAATGACGGGCACTTGGTAAAACACATGATATAGCTCCTCCTACTGCTGATTCTTGGTCAGTAAGAATTACCTTTGGTTGTTGACCTCCCATTGTCTTCATCCATGTTTCCAGTAACCACACAAATGACTCTTCTGTTTCATCAAAAAGTAATGCACTACCAAATAATACAGTCTGATAATGATGATTAACCCCTACAATTGGGACAAATGGCAAACCATACCTACAGATGCCATATGTTGGATCCAAACAAACCACATCCCCAAAAAAATGGTAGTCCATCCTCGATCTAGCATCAGTCCAAAAGAAGTTTGTCATTTGGCCATCTGAATCAACTTGAATTGAATAAAAGAAAGAAGGGTTGTTTGTTCTTTGGCACTCAAAATAATCAAGTATAGCTGAAAGATCTTCCTTTTGAAGATCTCTCTGCCGTCTTGTATTCAAGAAATTTCTTGCATTGGAATTGGCATTACGACTTCCTCCAGCCTCAAGAGGCATAAAATTCATCATAAGACCTGTTTGAAGTCCTGTGGAGTGCATGCTTTTAACTACTTTCCCTTGGTCTTCTGTTAGTTTTTGTTGAAAATGGAGCTTGTCCCTTTTGTTTGGGGAAGTCAAAGGATGATTATGCTCTTTTATCACTTGACTGACAACCCATCTATCTCCCTTTTTTCTTCTTATCCACATCATTGCCTTGCAACCTGTTCTTGATTCTGGCCTTAGCTTCTTCTTTTCTTCAACTCCTATTGCTTTTGCATTACTGTACCCTTGATGCGAACAACAAAAGCAGCGGCCTATTACTTTGCCAGTACGTTGGGATTTAGAGGTTGAATGTTTCCGTGTACTAAATCCCATCTTTCTTGCATACCGAATATAGAAGACATGTGCATCATCTTGAGATTCAAACTCCATACGAACAGCTGGACAAAGCTCATTATTGCCATCTGAGCCAACAGTATCTTCCTCATTTTTTTTAGAAATAGCATCTTCAACTAGCTCATCATCTTTCTTTTCCCTATCTTCTCCTTCTTCCTCTTCAGCATATTCATGGTTTACTTCAGTTCCAGCAAAGCAGTTATATTCTTCTTCATCATTTTGATACAAACACAAACCCTTGTCCATGCCTTGGGTTTATCTACAAAAGCAGCACATGCAATGTCAGCCCTAAATGTAATAAAAGTACAAAGTGGCCACTCTCAGACTTGAACCCACCTCCTCATGCTTGTCAGCCCCAGATTTTACCATTACACCAAGCAAAGGTCTCCTCTTCAGAAAAAAAAGGATTAAATAATAGGGGTCCCATTTAAATCTAGAAGTGTGTTGTTTCCCTATCCGAATTTAATCACAAACCAAATATAATTTTGTTTCATAAGTACAGAGAAGAAAGGCTTTTAAGATTTACTACATGGATAGTAGGTCCCCCAAACCATAAATAGAACTAGCAATGATGGAGCTGTGGGCATCAATAATAAATAGACCTGACATTTTTGAGAGTGGCATTTTCGTCGTTGAGAAAGGTTGGAAGTATCGGTAATGATTAGGGGAAAGGGGATGATTGCTGATCGGAGTTCTTGAGGTTGGTTCAAGGAGAAGGTGAAAGGTTTGTGCAGAGAGGAAGATGTTGAGCTGGTTTCTGGTAGGTGTAAAAAGGTAATCTCAAATACTGGTGGAAGCTGGGCTAGTGGAACCAGCAAGTGACATTTGCAGGACAAAGTAGTTTGATTTTAGTAGATGAGAAAGTTGATGGGAGTTGAAAAGGCGTAGACGGGAAAAAGGTTAGAGATGGTGTGGAAAGTGAATCTCTTGTTCAGAAGGAAAATGTATTTGGGAGCACTTTGTAAGAAAAAGGACAAAACAGGGCAAAAGAGATGACAATATAGGCTTTAAAAGTTAGAGAAAGCAAGGTAATTAGCAGTAGTAGGGATTATAGGGTGTGTGCGGACACCTCATGTATTCAAGTTGCGGCGGCAGTAAGGTTATGCGGTTATGGGGGAAATCTAATTTTAGAAGAAAATAATCCAAGCAGTAGTGGAAGAGAAGCTGTGGTAGTTGACAAGGATAGAAGCCATCTTCCAGTTGTAACATGGTACAAGTTCTTAGAGTTTTGCAAGAGTGCCATTTCAATTTCTGTAATATTGTTGCTTTTGGTGATAAATGGAAAAACTAGTGTTTCAATCAGACAGATACTACTACCTATCCAAAAAAAAAATCAGACAGATACTAATACACAGATGGCAGGACTGTGAAGCTCCAACTTTCAAAGACATGAAAATATAAATCATACTTGGGTCTGTCTCGTCTGATTCAATGGAAATAAAATGTGTGTAATTTGCTTAGAATTAGAATGAAATGGAAGACAACTGAAACCCAATAATAATTTGATATGGGGAAAGAAAATACATGAAGTATTAGAACTTAATAGTAAGATAAGGAAAAAAAACAGTGTCTGGTTGACTAATAACTAATGATTCATCTCTGTCAAAACCCAGAAAAAATAATGATATAATCCTCCTAAACTTGCAAATGCAGTATCTGGTTGAAAGATGCTTATAAACTGCATAAGCTCCCAAGAGAGGTCAGATGACAAAAGATGCTACCAAACCCTTAACAGAGATTTTCCATAAATTTAGAAGTGCTTTTAATCCACAGTATTCAACAGACACAAACACAATGCAATTGTTGTGGACAAGGTGCACATAAAAAAGGGGGCTATAGAGGTTTCTCAATATTGTCAATTAAGTTACATCCTGATCCTTATACTTTTTTTTACTAGAATTGAAGATCTCTGTCCATGATGTGTCAAAATCAGCAAAGGGAGAGTGGATAAGCTAACTAGAAGGATAAATTTGCAGAGGAAAATCTTTTCCATGTGACTAAAATAATTTTCTTTAATGGTGCATTCTTGATGTACATATACTAAGGTAATATTCAGTCATATACTAAGGTAATATTCAGATAGGAAAGATGTACATATAACAGGATAAATTCACAGTTCAATAATACATTCATACTTTATAACACATAGGAAAGATGTACATATACTAAGGTAATATTCAGTCATTCTCCTCTTATGTAGCCACAATCCCCCATGCTTTAGATGTTTAAGATGCCAAAAACAGAATGGGGGGAAGAAGTAAATTTAGTTGCTTGAGCTATTGCATGCTTGTTAGATGTGGTATTGTAGGAAACCTGTCAAATGATTAATGCTTTTATGTTTTCATGTTTTCTTTAAAACCACATTTTGTATTTATATTTTCTTCATGATTTAATTTTCACATTATTGATAAAAAAAAGGATTTAATTTTCACACTTATTCGAAACACTGAAAGGAATTTGTAGTATTCCAGACTCAGATATTTAGGATAATTCGATTCAGTCAATTTCATCTCTTCCAAGCCATGGCTTAAATATACGTTTTCTCGATTATACAATCAAATGTCCACAATTCTCCAAGATAAAAACTCTCTTCTATTTAAAATAATAATAATAATAATGAACTCAGACATAAAGCTACTTCTACCAAAAGACAATCATGTAGAACAAGTGAACTGCAATATTTCATTGCCAAATCATATAGTGTAACCATTTGAAATAGGATGCATAAATTTCTTCAACAATCATCAACTCAATGAAAAAATAGTGTAAAGACAAACTTGGAGTTAAAATTATAGCAAATAACACCAGATCTTCATAATTTTGAAAATAGTGGTTATGGAACAAAATCCATCTAAGCAAAAGTAGACTAAAAGAAACGAAACTAGAGGTACCTACCAGTGACGACTCGATAGTCGATACTGATAAAGAAACCCCACGATTTCCTTCTGAAGCTTGAGAAACAATTCTACAGCCAATAAACTTATCCTCTCCTATTCATCCAACAAAGTGGATTCTCAGCTGTTCGTACCCAACTCCATCGGCCACTGGAGACTGAAATCAACTCACTTTGTTGAAACCAAACCATTTCTTTTCTGGGTTTGAAAATTTAAACACACAGTAAAATTTAATGGTAAATTACGAAAAAATCACATTTTCATGAGAGAATCCAAAATTTTAGGGTTTGTACAGTAGACACAGAATTTCCTGCGATGCAAAAGAGAAAAAAAAAAAAAAAAAAAAAAAAAAAAAAAAAAAACAAGTAGCTCACAAGGTATACATATAGAAACTATAATACATACCCTCGTGGAGTCAAAAGCACATCCGTACAACTTGTGTCCATGCAACTTCGTCCATGGACTTCAAATAGCTGATGCAGAGTTTCTGTTTTTAGTTCTTGAACAAAACAACAGAACGAGAAGGAAAAAGGTAACGATGGAACTCAGAATTGCTAAATGGACGCGCACACTTCCAGTCGGAGTCCAAGCATTCTTCAAACAAGACATCCCACGAGGACCGGATGTACCCAGCTCCAAAGTTGATCAATATTCGAAATCGAATCAAATCTTACCCATCGGGTTTTGATTGCGCAAGCATCGGATTCGGGTATTAGATTCAATACTGTCAAGCTTGGACCGGACACAAAACCATTTTGTCTTGGGTCGTGGGTTGAACAATCCGACAACCGGTTCAACTTACCTGATAAAAAATCAGTTGATTGATTAAGGGTCCGTTTATGATGCCGATTCCAACTGTTTAATTGGGTGGAATTGAAATCCATCCTGATCATGCACAATCCGGTCGGTCTTAGCTGTCAACGATCTTGCCTCTGAACTGAGTGGCAAGGGACCTGAAACGGAGGGGGTGAAGAAGCTCCGGGGAGAACCCGGCGTAAGGGCT